AAATTTTTGATTTTATAATTATTTTCCCAAAAAAGTCAGTTTTTTGAAAAAAAAATTGGCCAAAATCCAAAATTTTCAAAAACCGAGATAGCCATTTGATAGACAAAGTAGAATTACGTATAACCTTTTTTTTTGTTACGTCTTGATTCCTTCAAAAATGACGATGTTAGCGGCGTTTGAACTTTTGCCGTTTTTGAGGCGAAAATGGCGAACATGACGTCACTAAAACGTCAATTTCTCAAAAATTTTCCGACGGATTTCGCTAAAATTTTCATGGAACGTGTCAAATTGATGTAAGAAAAGGTACTGAGAGTTGAGCGGCGCTGCGCGCTGCCGTTTTTGAGTTATCGCAAAAATTCGCGAGGGTGGGTAAAATTTACCCCCCCCAGCCCCGCGCGGGTTAAAGCACTCATCTGAAGCATCTCGTCGCGTTCTTTCGTTTGCCGCTTCGTGCGTTTCGCTGCGCCTATTGGTTCTCGAGGTATCGGCTGGGGGCGTTTAACGCCCCCCCCCCCCAGCAAACGGTGGGTGGCGAAATACCCCAGCAACTGCCGGGTTAAAATTGGGTATCATCGTCTTCCTCGACACACGGGCAACACGCTCGTTTATTCCGCGAAGCTCTAGCTCGATCAGGGGCGAAACGGCAAGGGGGGGTCCAACAGACCCCCCTTAAGGCCGTGTTACACTGCCGAATTTTGGTCACGACTCTGTCGCCGAATCACGTCGTGTAGGAAATCGGCGAACAGTTTACCGACAGAGGCGAACAGTTCGCCGACAGAGCCCGATTTGCAGAAAACGGGTGGGGGCCCCCCTAATCGTGCGCGGGTCGAAGCTGATCCATGGTTCGGCGAACATCGTGAATGAATGGCGAATCTGTTGCGAATAGTCGCCGATACCTTGGCAACAAGTCGGCGCACGCAGCGACATGTCGGCGGCGACTCGGCAACTGTTTGGCGACATGTTCGTTTATTATAAGTTCGGCGAACGGCCACGAAATTTTCATTTTTCATGAAATATTCGTGGCGGTCGTGACTAACCGTAAAAGTCGCGCGGTGGACACCGACTGGTCTGCGAAATGCCAAGACCGTGGAAGAAAGATACCGAATCGGTCCGCGTCATAGGATGACTTGCATATTCGTGCACATTCGTGTACCAAAATTCGGCAGTGTAAAGGCCGTGTTACACTGCCGAATTTTGGCCACGACCCTGTCGCCGAATCACGTCATGTAGGAAATCGGCGAACAGTTCACCGACAGAGGCGAACAGTTCGCCGACAGAGCCCGATTTGCAGACAACGGGTGGGGGGCCCCCCTAATCGTGCGCGGGTCGAAGCTGATCCATGATTCGGCGAACATCGCGAATGAATAGCGAATCTGTTGCGAATAGTCGGCGATACCTTGGCAACAAGTCGACGCACGCAGCGACATGTCGGCGGCGACTCGGCGACTGTTTGGCGATCATGTTCGTTTATTATAAGTTCGGCGAACGGCCACGAAATTTTCATTTTTCATGAAATATTCGTGGCGGTCGTGACGAACCGTAAAAGTCGCGTGGTGGGCACCGACTGGTCTGCGAAATGCCAAGACCGTGGAAGAAAGATCCCGAATCGGTCCGCGACATAGGATGACTTGCATATTCGTGCACATTCGTGTACCAAAATTCGGCAGTGTAACAAGGGCTTAACAAGGGCTTTATACGTTCGCGGCTGGAAAAACACCAACACGGGCGAGGGTTAAGCATGCGAGATGGGTTCCATAATGCATTTAGGTCCTCGGCTTTTGGGGGTCAAATCACCCTCTCGGGTTTTTTTGGGGGGGTCATGACCCCGTGGACCCCCAGGATCCGCCACTGCCCCAAACCCCTCCTAAATGTTGACCTAGATCAACCAAATTTGCACAGGGGCGAGATCTCCTATGGGCCCACCCACCCTGTAAATTTGGTGTTTCTAAGTGCTGTAGGAGGCAATGGCCAGGGGGTCGTACCACCCCCCCCCCTCCTCCCCTGGCCGTCCTCGTTATGAAAAAGGCCCTGGCCTGGCGAGGGTTAAAAAAGTTGGCTAAAACTCTGATTTTCTTTTTTCATCCGATTCTTTTAAAAATTTGGAAGCTTGTAGCAAAAAAAAAAAAACGCAAACACGAACTACATAGCACCTAGGTACTGAGGGTGTCGAGCAGCTTAACCCGCGCCCTGATGGGGGGGGGGGGCCATTTTGGCCCCCCCCTGTGGTTTTTCTTAAATAGCGAGAAAACGGCGGCGCGCAGCGCCGCCAAATTTTGGGTACCTTACCGGGCATCAATTTGACACCTTCACACAAAATTTCAAGTCACAGGTCACCTCAGGTCAGGAGTTATTGAGGTCAAACTGAGGTCATGTTCGAGTAAAAATGAGCAAAAAACATGACATCTTTAAACGCTCACAAATTCTACAGTTAACAAGCAATTTTAAAGTTCTTTATGTGGTTGTGTAGAGAAAAGACGGCGCTACAAAACTGCTATCTCGGATTTTCGAAATTTTGGGATTTTGACCCCCAAAAATCAAAAAAATTGATTTTTTTAGAAAAACTCAAAAAATTTCCAAAAAATTTTCGAATTTCGAAAAAACCGGAATATATGTGATAGTCCGTGCGCTCTTCGATATACATACCAAATTTTAGATCGATGCCTCTTTTTTTGGCCAAGTTATAGTGAAAAAACTGTTAAAAATTGATGACGTCAAATTTTTGAACTCAATTTTTAGCAATTCTAGACCTCGTAGCGCAAAACGGAGACCACCATTGAACTCCCCGTGACGAGCTGCATCGAATCGATACCCATTTTATGCAAAAATATCAACTTTGAAATTTGACCTAATTTGACCTGACCTTGACCTGACCTTGACCAAAACGTGACCTAAGCTGGCCCTAAAGTCTGTCTGACCCACATAATCGCATTTGTCATGTAAAATGGACCATAAAACATGTATCACACGACACTTTCATATTGTGACCCCCCAGTGACCTGACCTCTGTGACCTGACCTGGTATCAGTGACCTCAAATAGCAAACTATGTGTTTGAAGAACATTTCCCCATCGATGATTTTCAATGAAATGCATTTTACTCGATTTTACAACGCATTTCTTGAAATGCCTGTTAACGGTGAAAATTCGACCTTTGACCTGACCTGTGACGTCATCGGTTTGACCGAGGTCAATGAAATTGGGTCACAAGGTAGTTCCCCGTTGGGGCTATCCAACACCGTTTACCGCTTGTCGCTATGTTGCGTGGTTCTCGAGATCTGAGGGGGGGGGGCCAAAATGGCCCCCCCCCCCATCAGACCGCGTTGCTCGGCAGACCCCATCTGGGCGCGGGTTAAAAAAAAACATTTTATTGTAGGACATCAGTTTTGGACAAATCTTACGACACTTCTACCGTTTGTACTTTAACCCGCGCACACTTAGGGGGTTCTACATACATTTCCTTTCCTGGTCGGTGGCCTGTGTCACCGACTCCCTCTGTGAGCGGCCCCTGTCACCGACTCCCTCTGTGAGCGGCCCCCGTCACCGACTCCCTCTGTGAGCGGCCCCTGTCACCGACTCCCTCTGTGAGCGGCCCCTGTCACCGACTCCCTCTGTGAGCGGCCCCCGTCACCGACTCCCTCTGTGAGCGGCCCCTGTCACCGACTCCCTCTGTGAGCGGCCCCTGTCACCGACTCCCTCTGTGAGCGGCCCCCGTCACCGACTCCCTCTGTGAGCGGCCCCTGTCACCGACTCCCTCTGTGAGCGGCCCCTGTCACCGACTCCCTCTGTGAGCGGCCCCTGTCACCGACTCCCTCTGTGAGCGGCCCCTGTCACCGACTCCCTCTGTGAGCGGCCCCTGTCACCGACTCCCTCTGTGAGCGGCCCCCGTCACCGACTCCCTCTGTGAGCGGCCCCTGTCACCGACTCCCTCTGTGAGCGGCCCCTGTCACCGACTCCCTCTGTGAGCGGCCCCCGTCACCGACTCCCTCTGTGAGCGGCCCCTGTCACCGACTCCCTCTGTGAGCGGCCCCTGTCACCGACTCCCTCTGTGAGCGGCCCCCGTCACCGACTCCCTCTGTGAGCGGCCCCTGTCACCGACTCCCTCTGTGAGCGGCCCCCGTCACCGACTCCCTCTGTGAGCGGCCCCTGTCACCGACTCCCTCTGTGAGCGGCCCCTGTCACCGACTCCCTCTGTGAGCGGCCCCTGTCACCGACTCCCTCTGTGAGCAGCCCCCGTCACCGACTCCCTCTGTGAGCGGCCCCTGTCACCGACTCCCTCTGTGAGCGGCCCCTGTCACCGACTCCCTCTGTGAGCGGCCCCCGTCACCGACTCCCTCTGTGAGCGGCCCCTGTCACCGACTCCCTCTGTGAGCGGCCCCTGTCACCGACTCCCTCTGTGAGCGGCCCCCGTCACCGACTCCCTCTGTGAGCGGCCCCTGTCACCGACTCCCTCTGTGAGCGGCCCCTGTCACCGACTCCCTCTGTGAGCGGCCCCCGTCACCGACTCCCTCTGTGAGCGGCCCCTGTCACCGACTCCCTCTGTGAGCGGCCCCTGTCACCGACTCCCTCTGTGAGCGGCCCCCGTCACCGACTCCCTCTGTGAGCGGCCCCTGTCACCGACTCCCTCTGTGAGCGGCCCCTGTCACCGACTCCCTCTGTGAGCGGCCCCCGTCACCGACTCCCTCTGTGAGCGGCCCCTGTCACCGACTCCCTCTGTGAGCGGCCCCCGTCACCGACTCCCTCTGTGAGCGGCCCCTGTCACCGACTCCCTCTGTGAGCGGCCCCTGTCACCGACTCCCTCTGTGAGCGGCCCCTGTCACCGACTCCCTCTGTGAGCGGCCCCTGTCACCGACTCCCTCTGTGAGCGGCCCCTGTCACCGACTCCCTCTGTGAGCGGCCCCCGTCACCGACTCCCTCTGTGAGCGGCCCCTGTCACCGACTCCCTCTGTGAGCGGCCCCTGTCACCGACTCCCTCTGTGAGCGGCCCCTGTCACTGTTCCACAGCCGGGGGCCACCTGTCCGGACAACAGCGTCATCATCGCCATACAAGACACTGCAACGAACGCCAACACGGCCATTGAGGCCCTGTGCGTGACCATCGGCGGCGGCTACGTGGTCGACCACGGCCAGTCGAGCACCCGGACGTTCGTCAAAGATGTGCCGATCTCCTGCGATCCGTACTACGCCGTGACCGCCCTGGCGCGAGATCCCACTAACAAAGACCCCTGGACGACCATGAGGTGCTGCAAGATTGTGCCCGAATAACGCCACCGTCTCCACCGGCTGACCACCGCATTCAGCGGCGCCCCCTGCACTGTAGCAGCGCGCTGCCAACCCAGCAGAATCGCTGTCACCCTCGACTGTATGTATTATGTATGTACTAGGCTCTAAATAGACTGAAAGCGGTGTCCTGGAAGACCCTTGCACTAAAATACCTACCTAGGGAGATTGCGATTAATTTAATTGCCTTGTACCGGACACCCACTGGTAAAAAACTAACCGTGACAATTTGCATAGCGATTGTAACGAGCACCTGTAGACTTATGTGATGAGCTGAGCTGGTGCATGTGAATTTGCCAATGCAGGTTCGATGACTACGAAAGTAACTTTCCGACTTCAACTAGATAGGTATCGGTACATGAGGCCTGAAATGTTCATACACACGTGCATACCCACATGCATACATACACCATACATGTAGGTAACTCAGGCACAAGTAACGAAATGATCAAAGCTGCGAGGACTTGCATCCATGAAGGTCACGGCTGTCGTCTATACTCGTAGTGCCCCGCTCTCTGGATTAGTTAGGTACCTCTGGATTAGTTCTATCGCTGAATAAATAAATTTCGCATTGATTCGCTGTAAAAATGAAGTGTACAACGCTCTCTTCAGAGCCACTGCGATTATAATACCTTCATTATGTAGTCCTTAGTTTGACAAACTAGTTAAAAGGTGCAGCTGCACTCAGTAAATCAATGTAAGTAATCTCCATGCGCAGTAAGTTTTACATTATCTTTTTACATGTATACTATCTCTTTGAGTCTCTGCAGCATCATATGCTCGCCTCTTTTGTGTTCTGCAGCCTGTCCTAACCCAGGTGGGTGACAGCACGTGATCGCCTGAGGCGGTGGGGGGTAAAAATGTTTTCGTCATTTAATGCTCTATGCAATCGCTGCGACTTTTCACAAGACCAATTCTCCTCGTCGTTGTTCCTTGCTTTCAACGACTGGTCCCCGAGTGATGACTATCCTCACGCAAGATAGGATGAATGGAGCTAGCAATTAAGCCCAAAAAACATATCGAAAATGTTACAAAACACTTCTTTTGAAGGAGATGAATTGAATGGTTTTGGAGCCTCACGAGGCATGTTTGTATGACGCGTCACGCAAACTGACGCATAAAGACTGTGTTCAAAAGTGTGCTCGCAGACACTTCTTGACGAATTAAAAGCGTAGGTACTGCTCGGTCGCCATAGCAACAAGTAAGCGTCACAAATTTCGAACACTATCTGAGTGCGCCAGGTTCAACTACATCGAGGACGATGGGTGATCGTTGCCAGCTGATTAAATTAATGAAACGCAAATAAATTCAACTTTTGTTTGAGATTGCGAGTAAAATCTGTTTGTTAATTTCAAATATCATTGAATTAGTTTTTGTATATGTTACAGGGAGTATGCGATTTCAGTTAGTTTGCAACGACCCTAGGGCGGTTGGAACCTGCCTGAACGATCAGTTTGTTTGCAACGACCCTAGGGACGTTACAAAATAACTGCTCGTTCCGGGACGTTGTAACGAAACTAGGGTCGTTGCAACCTCCCTAGTTAGTTATATATAAATAGTAAGGGAACGTTGCAACTCCCTAGTTAGTATGCAACGAACCTAGGGTTGTTACAAAATAACTAGGGAGTTTAAGAACTCATCGAGTCTCGTTTCACAGGAAGGCCGTCAACAATCTTGTCCAATGAAAATCTTGTTCAACCTAGTTCAGAAGGAGAACAAGGAAAGGAGAACAAAATTTGAACATTCAGCTCAGGAGTATTTCACGACGGCCATCTAGTACACATTTTGTGCAGATCAGATGCACATTTGGTGCAGATTTGTTCAAATTAGATGGACATTCGCAAGGAAGCCCTTCGTAAAAACGGCTATTATCCGCTCGTTTCCAGTCTTTTTGTGATTGTAAACGTTCAAACATGTGAAATGATGGCATGGTCCCATGCATTATGGTGGGTGTCGTTAAGGTCACGTGAAGGTCAGGTCAAGGTCATTGACCTTTGATGACCTTAGTTCACTTCTTCTGGGTTCATATATTTTAGGCTAGTTTTTGGAGCTGATTTCGAATTCAGCATCCATTTAAACATTTACGAAGTAATTTTGGCGCCTTCGTACCATGTTACGAAGCTGTCAGCGGTGGTTGACATCTACTATGGACAGCTAGCAAGACGCCTACTGGTTGACCTGACCTGACCTGACCCGATCTGGCCTAAAAACATCAAGACATCATCGGTGATCAAAGTTAACATGAAATTCGTGATGAGCGCTCCGAAAACCTCATAACAACCTAACTCTCCAAAGTTTTAACAGGTCCCGATTTTCCCGACTTTTGAGTCACTGACCTGACCTGGAAGGTCAACCAATAACCTAGCCCCGCCCTGTGCGTTTGCGGCTAGCAAAACACCAATAAGGGCGAGAGTTAACCCCGCCGGACCTGTTGGGTTTTCTACATACACGCCGGCCGGGGGAGGGTTGGTACGACCCCCTTGTCGTTTTTCGCCCCTGATGGAGTTAGAGCGTCGCAGAAAAAAACGAGCGTGTGTGCCGTTAATAGGAGACACAGCAACTAGTACCCGATTTTAAGGTCTCAGGTCAACCGATGACCTCTGAGGTCAGGTCAAGTGAGCCAAGACGCGGGTTCGGTTTTTGATAAATAAATTCTTAAAAAACAGTCGCAAAGCGCGATTTTAGCATCAACGTGCTTACATCTTGTCACAATCTTCTGCCTTAGAACGCTCCATAATGAAGGTTGCTTCTGGTTAACATTTCGAAAAGGTGTATATGAATCTATGAAATTATGTTTGTAGATTTCCAATTTCGATTCCTCCAGTTGGAGGGGCTCAAATACATTACGAGTCCCCCCCCCCTCAGCCGAAAAGTTGGAGGGGCTCAGCGCTGCTAGCTCCCCCCCCCCCCCAGGTTCCCGCACCACTGCGGCCAGTTCAGTTTAAATACGTGTTGCATCTGTGGCACCGTGACTGTTGTTCGCGTTGAACAACTTGCTTCCTTTAAACCAATGACGTCATTAAAGCTAGCCAATTATCGCAAACCTTTTTGGTTGGTAACACTCGCACTGCAAAATGTTAGCACTTAGCGCATAAGTGATCAAAATATGTACGACGACATTGACAACAATATCAATCCAAGTTACTCGCTCTAACAACTTAACCCGCGCCCTGCTGGGGGGGGGGGGGGTGTTTGAACACCCCCCTTGTGGTTTTTCGCGAATATCTAAAAAACGGCGGCGCGCCGTTTTTGGTACACCTTATCATACATCAATTCTACACATGTGAAAATTTCAGACCAAGGTCATTCAAGGTCAGGTCACCAGGTCACTTGAAGTGACCTCACCTCATAAAAAGTTTCAATGTCTGCCATAGCTACACCGAGTGACCAATCGCTTTGAAACTTTCAGCGATTGATAAGGGTAACAGTATCTATAAAATGTATATCTCGGAATTTTGATATCGGTGACCTAAGGTCAGGTCAATTTTGCGACCTCCCCATTATAAGTCAATGGGAGAAAATTGAAATGCGCCTCTTTTGGACGAAAGACATTATAAACACTCCTAAACACTTAATTACAAGTGGTTTCGACACACTGAACATGAAAATGGTGTCCGTGACCCCTATTTACGCCCCTGAGGTCATCTCAGGTCACGAATGGTGCCTAACAGTTTTCGCAAATAACTTTTGATAGAGACATGCTAGAGCGGTGAAAACGCCTTATATGTGTTCAGCTCGACGATACGAATCGACTGATATGCAACATGACCTTTTCCGGTCAGATCATGACCTTGATCTGAGGTCAAATTTTCAAGTTGACCTTTCAAGGTCAAGTTATAGTTCATTCGATGCGTCTTGACGAGAGGAACACGATGCCGGTAAAAGTAAGCTCGTACAAGGCTTGGGTCAAAAGTTATTGTAGAAACACTGTTTCCGAAAAATCGGCTATTTTTGCAGTTTTTGCCCCCTGCAGGCAAAACCGTTGACGTTAGGTCAAATCTGAGAGAATTAGGGGAGAGTGGGGTAATTTGGCCGGTGGTGTAAATTGGCCGCCCCACCTGTACGATGTCTAATAAAAGTGAGTGAAATAACTCTAGTCTCTATTCCTTTGTCATGGGTAGAAATAACTGGAGGACAAATGTGAAAACTTTGCCCCTCGTAGTTTTATTCAAAATTAATAAAACGTTAATTTCACAAGAAAATGGTAACTTTTACTTCTGTTTACAAAGTTGTATAACATGTAGGGGAAGCGGGGGTAGCACCGCCATGTGGGAAACACCGCCATCCTCTCTATCGGCAAAACTCTGAATTGTAAATGTAAACACCCGCCATTTCGGTGTCCGAACGGAAGCGGGACGCCGCGTGAGGTAGGTTTCGCTAAGATTTATTTGATTTTGAGATCGCAATTGCCCATTTTGTGAATTTCAGTCCATCGTTGTAATCATTTGGCATGTTTGAGCAGCAAGTAAGTGGTCATTTCAAGTCAAAATGCCTTGATTTTTACGTTAAATTTGAGGGCATGAAGTGCTCTTTGTTGAGAAACGAATTACAGAAGAATCGCGTCCCGGCTTGTTTTGCTGTCGGGGCGTTGTCGGTCCATGACTGTGAGTGGGGTAACACCGCCATACTCGGCGGTGCTACCCCAAGGGGTGGCAAAATGGATAAAGCCGCAATGATGATTCACTCAGCTCGGAGAAGAGCTTTAGTTAGGCCGCAAACGTTGTCTGTTTTTTAACCTCACGCTTGACTTCACTGGATGTTTCGAAATAAACGTGAATTTGTCATGCTTTGTATGCATATTGTCCGCAACAAACAGTCTGATCTGTGACAAACTAACAACCAACTATTGTGTGTCTTATATGAGTTTGAGTTACTATTTCAGACAGCAGTAACGCTTCCAAGGGTGGCTGTTACCGTAAGGCCGATCTGTGGATAACATCGCCATCAGTGGCGGTGCTACCCGCACATTTTTTGGAGGACGAAAAATGCAGGACTTGTTTTCGACGTCTGTAAAGTAGCGAAATTTTATAATGGAGCGCTGGAAACTATGCCAACATGTAGGAAAACATTCCTACTTTCACATGAATGCAAAAGAGCTTCGTTTTTACTACGCATATCAGCTCGGTGAGCAGAAATGCTTAAGGTGGCGGTGCTCCCCCCGCTTCCCCTAGTATTTGGGCTAAAAACGAATTCAGACAGTATAGCGCCATTCTTGGGGGTGTTCAGCAGTTCCAAGAGCAATTTTATCTAATTCCGTAAAGCCGTGATGACTTTATAGACAAAAAATTTCAGAATGGCAATATGGGGTAATTTGGCCGGGACTAGCGGGGCAACTTGGCCGGTGCGCTCATGGTCACTATGCTGGGACGGCCGAGTTTTCATGGTCAATTGTACCATAAATAACATGATTCATGACCAACTTTGACTTCTTTGATGCCTTACTTCCGATTGGTCAACTGTAAGAGCATGTGACGTCATCAAAGGTTACCAAACGTTTTTTGCTAATAAATCCTTACATAAAAATGGCACAGCCGCACAAATGGTCTCATTCTGTTCAGCTCGCCAAGGCGCATCGAATGATATGCATG